CCGGTTCAAATCAAACCGAGAGTCTCAGCGCTTTCGCCGAGGCTTACAATGGAGGTCAGAACAACGAAGAATTAAAACTGGAAATGAAGAAGATGAAGATTCTCAAATCAGTGAAGGTGCTGCTAAGAGTCTGTCAAATGATAGCCAAGCAGCTGTGGAAGATTGACATTGCCCTCAAACCCAAGCCGAAAAGCACGCGTTCTGAAGGATTGAGGTGTTTACGAAGGGAACTGGGAAAGGTGAGCAAAACTGTTGATAGGATGATGGATAGGCTTACATTTTTGTCAGAGAGTTGAGCGTTTGTTGAGGTGACTTGTAGAGATAGTGATCTGTGGTTTCTTGTGTATATTGGCAATAACAAAAACCGTAGTATCTTTTGTAATTTATGTACTATATAGCAATATGGCAATGCATAACCTAGTAAATATCATGTTTGTGACCATGTCATGCTGTTCACTTATTCGGCCCGGGGATATCAATCCAGTAAGCGGCACAATAATTTATTGCATATTCAATGTCATTGAGGGGCTTTTTGCGGATAACAATAAAAATGAAATGAAAAATCATGTCATTTGATGTCTGTATTTGTATTCATAGGATACTCATATAAAAAATAATGTTCTAAGAAGTAAAAGAGTTTCTCAGCAAATCACAATTTCATTCATCCGAAAAATTGGACACGCGAAGAAGAGTTCCTCCTCCATTCCTTCTCATCTTCGATTGTTCCCTCTCTGCCCATCGTATTTATCCTCATAGCGTACATCGTAGCTATCAGATTCTCTACACTGTCACAATGTTTGGAAGAGTCACTAGATTCAGAGCTCTCGCAAATGAGGATCCCTCTAATAACCTCCCTCCCCCAAGTCCTACCGTCAACCACTTGAAGGATGACAAGGTCGTCTCAAAGGTCTGTTTCTTGCCTAAACTATCGATGTATCAAATCCAGTACTGACTGCTTTGGTTTATTGAAAAATCTTTATCCTTTAATACTCTACTGTGTTTGTTTATTCACTAATCGCAACTCGAATAAAAACACACGCTTCAAAAACAACAAAAACCCAATAATATATGCCCTACTTTCCCACCGGCATCTATCTTTTTGCTCGCTCATTTTTAATAAAATGATAAATAGCGTATCAAACAATGGGAAACTTTAGAATTCTCACCGAAAGCATCCCCGAAATCCACCAATATCATCCAAAATGGAAATGCACGTGCCCCATCTCAACCCAACTTTACCGAAATCACAGATAATAATGGAACCAGACGAAGCCCGAGATTGGCTAATAAGAGGTCGACCTCGTTCGGATCAGGTGCCGAATCTGATGACGAAAACGTTTTCGATGATACATTTGGACAAAATGAAAATACAAGAGCAACTAGACAGACTGGAAGGAGCGTGGGAAGACCAAGAAGAAACGGGGGCCGCTTAACTTCGAGTAAAAAAGAAGATGCAAAGAGCACTGTGTCTTTTCATAAGGTTTGGTTCTTTTTGGTTCTATAACGAGCATAGTTGGAGATTGAAAAGAGGTCACTTTCGGTCATCCTTGCCTTTCTTACTGAGCATTTTTTCTCCATTTTCTTCTTCTTTCACAAATTTAGACTGCAAAATCGCCTTCTAGCGTGTCTCGTCTCCCTGCAACCCCGCGTTTTGGCTCAAACTACAATCCTTCCAAACTGTCGCAAGAAATTACAATCAGTGATTTGTCTTCGGTCTCGTCAGCATCAGGAATCGATGACTCCATTTTAGGTACTCGTGATGTACTGAATGACGACTCTCTTCTCGAACACCTCGAAGTCGCCGACGGAAGCCCTCAAAAGCTTAACGTCCAAGATCAAGACAGTGAAACCGAAATGATTGATGACGAAGAACGGAGTTCAAATGTCTGGTTCTCAAAGAAAGGTGGGCTCATGTCCAGTCAGCAAAGTGAACCTGAATTTGGAAGGCATCACGAATCACATATGGGAGGAATGCAAAGTGAAGATGAAGGATTAGCTGACAGTGAAGACGAGGCAATGTATATCGCTTCTCGCACTCGCTCCCAAATACGCTCTAGATCCGGTGCTATCCGCCCCGAGTCCCATGCCCACGCTACTAAGCCGCCGCAACAAGAAAAGGCGCTTCCAACCATGATATTTCAATTCATCATGTTCTTGATTACAATTTTCGCCGCAGTTTCTATGGTTCATTATCGATTTAACATCCCGATTCCTGCACTCAATGATGTCGTCGATTTCGGCAAAACTCACTTTACCGAAGCAATGGAACAAGTGATGCTAAAATTAGATGACACCAAAGATATGGTCAACTTGGTGTTAAAAAATGGCGTAACAGTCGATGATGTTCAAGTATATGTAGGTGAAATTTTCAAGAAGGCCAAGGAATGGTGGTAAAAGGCTTGAAGGAATGCGATCAAGGCGGGGTGAAACAGAATAGATTACGATTCATAGAAATCAAGGATTGCTCCTCCTTTTTATAATTTGATTAATTTCTCGATTCATTCTTTGTAGTGGACATTTTTGATTCAATTCTTGCTGGGCTTCAACCATATTTTTGAAATGTGTTATCTATGTTCTCAATTATTTCAGCACGATGCAACCCGCTTTTCCGGGTTCTTCATCCCTTCAATGCAATCGTCTCTGATTCAATTTTCATGTATATACATTAAGACCGCTTTGGCGATTCTCTTACAACCCTCGCACTCATATAGTTTAGTCCTTTTCATGTAACCATTTATCAGTTCTAACAAGGATATATATGCCGTCTGTTGTCTGCATCAGAGTGGGTTAGCACAATGCAAATTTCTTTTTTGGACATCCCCTTTCTTCCTTATGTCACGGTCATATAAGTTTTGTTGTTTTCGAAAGGGGTGGGTTTTGGTTGGGTTGAAAGAATTCTTGTTTTTCTGGGCTGTATGTGGCGTGAGCTGGCTTTGGCTGAATGTAAGATGTCGTGAATGAAAATGTCGTGAATGAAAATGTCGAAATGAAGAATGGATAATCTTTCTTTTTTGATTGTATATATTCCTCGACACTGCAAACACTACTGAAATGCTCAAGACTTTTGATCATCCGATTCCATTACTCTGTCAGTTGCCATCATCAGATTGATATACACCATAAATAAGGTTTGGCGATATTTCCACTACATTCAAGCTGCCCTCATTTCTTCGGTTTGGTTGGCCGTAAATGCCGTATCACGTCTACGTATCAGAAAATAGTTTGATACAATTACACGTTGATTATAGTACATCCAAAGTCGGTCGTTGTCCATATAACGTGAGACGGTTATCCAATGAGATTGTAAACGATATTTTAATTCGAAGGAGGGAATATTCAGCGCAAATTATTGAGGAAATTAAATCAGTAACCAGTCCATAAGTGAGACGAGGCAAGTAACGTTAACCAAAACTTACGATGTTCCGAGGAATTTTGTTCATCGAAGTAATTCAAATCTAATCTCTCGGCTATTAATTGTCCAAGTTTTCTTAATTCCTATTTTCATTACGATTGTTCAAAGAGAGTCGTAAGAAATTGAGTACAAATCTTGCCAAATTGTCAGTGGCTATGGGCAAGAATTGCTAGAACGAACCTCTACATTCTTCGTTGATTCTGAGATCTGTATACCGTCAATCTGATATCCATTGAAGATAAGGTGGTAGAATTTACTCCGCGACCCTGATCCAATCGATTGAGTCATTAGATTAACAAACGGCAATGTAACATCCTGTTACTTCAAATACATACCTCCTCTTATTTCTCTTCGAAGACGAATATAGACATTATGATAGTTTCCAGAGACATGTAATTTGTTATCATGTGATAGCGAATACTCTAGTAGTTTTGGGTACAGCGTGTATATTCGTTGAGCGCGATAGTTGTATATACCGGCAAGGGAAATGATGATTCCGAAAAGTGGAAATAGGAAGAAATTCTGGTACAGCAGATTGTTCGTAGCGATAGGAAGGAAATTTATCGGTAAATTGACGGACAAAGATCCACGGTTAGTTCAAAGGTTGAGATTTTTGACTTAGTTCTACTGAATCGTTGCTAAGGACAGCGTGATGGCCTATTTATCTTTTGCGATGACTTTAAGAGTTTCAAACGATAAGCATGTACTTTCCAACCTGAAACCACATTCTACATTCAAAAGCACAAGAATATCAAACAGCTCCGAGGTCTACAATTGACTTTATCTGCATCTACTTGTCGAAATGACATCAGTCAGTCGTACCGCTAAAGTACTTACGTTATTCTGAACAAAATTTCCAGTAGTCCAAGCTACCAAAAAACCTAATGAAACAATAAAAGCGACTATTGCTGCATATAAAAGCCTGTAGCGAATCGACATTGTGTAACCTGTGTGGTGAATGAGTGATAGCAGGATAGGGTAAGCATCCAATTGGAATCAGCGTGGTACTCGCTAAGTTTTCTCCAAAAACAGATATATTAGACAAATAACTAGACAAACTGACATCCATTTCGGTCGAGAAGGAATGGATAATGAGGATTCCGTTCTATCTCGGCGTTGAGTTTATCGATCGCATTTGAGAAAACCAAGTCGTAGTTCACAAATAAACCCATTCAAGATGGCCGACTGCCAATATATAGTGTGAGAATTGGGCTGATCGAATACTTTAGGATTAGAGCTCGGATTCCACGAGAGTAGGGCATCGGAAGGCGGATCAGTTTGGTCATCGCGACTTCATCCAACGAAGTGTTCCAAAGCCACAGTGGATAGTCAAACCGGAGAGAAAAGGATAATGCTGTTCAAGACACTATTATATCAATCATGCTGGACAGAATACTGCACTAGTGCCCTCATTATGGGTGTTATATATCCTTAGTTGGTCATACTCCACTATTCTAGTCTTAAACAACACGTCAATCGTCAACTTCTATTAAGTGCTGAAACCTTGGTAAAAATAACAGGCAGCGCTTCTACACAACACTTCATAAAAAAAGGAAAACTAATACTCGAAAGGGAACAAAATGCAGAATCCAACCAGCCGGAATCGAACCAGCGACATGATGATATCACTCTACACTACAGTCATCCGCTCTACCAACTGAGCTATGGTTGGAGTTGTGCCCGTGAACAAATTTTCATTCATATTAAGTTATGTAGTAAAAATCAACCCAGAAGAATAAACTACAGATTCTGCTATGCCGAACTTCGAAGTCCCACTCCACTTTTGGCTTCAGCGCGGCCTAGTTGGCTCACTTTTCGGACTCCATCCAATAACACCAATTCCACAGCGAAGCAAATTCTAATGCATACATACGAAACTCCGAATAAAGCTGGTATTTCTCTTAAAGATATGCCTATGCCTAAGGATGACAGCATTATCATTAAGTTTAAAATTACCAACACTTGCACTTTAAAAAGTTGCCGCTGAATCAACGGCGTAATGGAATTCATTATCTCAATTTTTTGGCGAACAACAAAGTATGTCAGACATCCGCTGCAAACAGGAAATAACGAGGATTGTGCACATGTAAAACAAATAGGTTGGTAGTTGATAATACAAAGGATTCATCACGTTATCAATAAAGATCGCGCGATGGATTTGTGCGCCGAGAAAAGTAATTGTTGATAGAAAAGTCACAAGAGCTGTGAGAATTCTAATATGACCAGGAGGTCTGTTCAGTTGTTTTGGGATGAATTGTGAAAAAAGACCGAGTCTATCCACAGTGAGCACAGCGTAGATTCCGACCGCAATGAAGTTACTAACGGCTTGTCCCGTATGGAACACCAGAAATATCTGGATGGACCGGTTGTCTTCAGCACTAATAAAGAAAGCCCTAGAGAGTTGGCAGATATCTGATAATAGTAAAAAGAAAAAGGCTACTAATATGAGTAGATTAAGTTTTGTGCCGTTATCACTTTTGAGAGATGTTTCCGAATATGAATTTCCATGGGCTTTTCGGGTTTTGTAAAGCTGAAGCATGAGCAATGAAGAGGATAACAAAATACTGCTTGACGCAATTATTGTAGCGACAGCAGAAGGACTCCAATTGGATTTAGAACTCATTTTGTTTCTTCCATCCACTGAATGGGGAATAGGTCTGTTGAATTGTTATTGTTGGTTTATCGTAGAGGCATTTGCGTGCACGAACGCGAAATTTGCTCTTGATCCCGGTACAAGGGAGCCAAGTTCCAACTTTCGTCGGAATTCCCAACGTCAGATAAGAACTGCATGATAAGCATTAGCGCAAGTCAGTTCCCACGGTATCTGAAATATTTGAATTGACGACAATGTAATGTATATACTTGTTTAAAAATGAGTATGTCGAAAAATATTCATAGTCAAGTGAATGAAGATTGTAGAATACAAGACAACTGTCACTACAATCAGTAGAACAACGTTGAATAAATTTAATTAAAATTATCGAGTAATTCAAAATTCATTCTTAATATATATTTTATATTCGTTTTTCCCAGTAGACGGCGTCTGTGACCAGGCTTCTAAATGATTCAAGGTTTCGATATATGTTGCTAGGAGCTCTAAAATTAGGCTATCAGATTTAACCCACCCCACATCAATGAAAATAGATGTTACATTTATGAAGCATTTAATGAACTCTATAATTACGAATTATCCTCTAATCAAGTTTGATACCTGTACCACAGAACCGAAATTGCTTTATCGCTCTGATATTTCTCATCATGCGCGCAGCTGCAGTCGCATCTGAAAAGACTTTTCGTTATGCAGTTATGGAATTAGATAATTTGAGTTCGGTTTTGGACATTCAACTTGCTTTATATTCATCAGCCATGTTTTGATTATTCCTGCATGAAGTTTACATTAATTAACTGCTGTGTCATTAAAATATATGTCGAAAATTTGGACACATTTCATCAAGCCTATCATATAAAATCAACTATCTATGAATACAGAGCCATTACTCTGAGGCGATTTAATTTATCCTTAGCTCATTGAATGATCCGCTGATGCCTGTGTTACCAGATAACTGAGCTGAGAATCCTCGGTCACCCTGGCTTTCCGTGCGATTTGCCAGCTTGCTAACCTTTTGCACCCTATCTAGCAAGGTCGATTCCACAGCGAAACAAATTCTAATAAGTACATTAGGAACTCCATAGAGTGCCGGTAGATCATCTAACAGTATGGCTGCACTGAAAGCTGACAGCATTATTACCAGATTTAAAACTACTAGAAATTGAACTAGGGTAAACTGACGTTTTATAACTGGAGTGATTGAAGTCATTAATTTCGCCTTTGCGCAGACGACGAAATATGTCAAACACCCGCTACAGCAGGTAGCAACCATGATTATCCACATATAAAAAATATAAGGCCACACTGAATTAAAAAAGTAATAAACAGGGTCCGTTTCATCTCTAGTCAGTATATTGTAGATATGTGTTCCCAGAGTGGTAATAACCGATATGAATGTTGCAGCTGTAGTGATAGTCTTTGTATAGTCAGGCAATCTGCAGAGTCGTTTCGGTATGAAATGTGAGAACAGTTTCAGCCTATCTGTACCGAGGAATGCGTAGATTCCTATAGCAACGATTTGACAGACGAGTAAAACCATGTGAGAAGCGATGAATATTTGAGTTGACCGACTGTAACTGTCTGACGTAGTAGAAAGCGCACGAATTGTTTGGAAAATGTCTGATAATAGTAAAAAGCCCAAGGCTATGGTAAGGAGCCGGTTAAGTGTTGTACCCTTAACTTTTCTGAAAAATGAGCTCGAGTTATTCGTTGTATTATTTCTGGTCAGCTTGTAGCCTTGAAGTAAGAGTAAGGCAGTGGATAAAAGCACGCAACATATCGCAATTGCAAGGGCAACCGAGTTCATTTTCGTTTCTGTTCCGACTAAGCTTTTTCAACCGTCCCTGAGGTGACTGCAGACTTTAATAGAACTATTAACTCTTCGATGTTGTCAGGTTTGAAAAGCTGTTACTTTCTACGCGATTGCGCTAAATTATATATGCGTGCTAGTTTATGAACATCTTCAAATCTCCTCACACACTTATAGGTGTGATAGGTGTAATGTGTATCCTCACATGTCCTTGTCCGGGCCATACAGCTTAGCGCACGATCTGGAGTCCAGGCTTCAATTTCCTTTTTCGTAATGGAAAACTTCAAAACCCTTGTACATCTGGTTGACACCTCAAATGGAAGCATCCATTTGGTTCGCGACTTATTTGTGGCAAATACCCACTCAAAAGATGTGCGGTTGAAGTTTTGAACCTCAGCATGACACCCAAAACATTTTTGAATAAGCACCACTTACTCTCTGCATAAAGCGTGCAGTGCTAACACATGCTATTGGCTGTTTCGAATTCAAAGTTTCAGAAAATTTATTATGCTCTTCTGTTTAAATTTTTACGAAATGTTCCTAATCAGGGCGAGGGGGTTGGTGGCGTGTCCAATTGCGATTGATATCACATTACATACACACACACAAAGTTATATTATCCACTTTTATTTCGTGTAAATCACATTGCCTACTCACTTTCACCAGGGACCATAAATGTTGAATATTTAGTCAAGGCATCCGTCCAATAATAATTCCTGAATGAGGTAGGAGGAATGAGCACTCGATGTCATTTCAATTACCGTTCGTCGACTGTTAAAAATGTGAATGATAGATGTACAGAAATATGCTTCAACTACCCCACCGAAGCATCTAAGAGTAGCAGAATGCCTAGTAGAATTTCAACCGACTGTCAAATAGAGTTAGCGAGAAAATCATTTCAATAATTTCTTCCCCACTGCAACGTAGCAATTCTAAGTTTCTATGATGTACGTTCAGAAAATTGCCATCTGTGAGACCCAAAGACAATTATGACCCATTCGGGGATGATGAGTACAATGCCACATCCACATTTAGCGGATCTTGTTTGGTTCTACACCCCTAATAATATCAGATTATTCCCACATAATACAAACTTGACTGGGCGAAACAATAAGCAAACTTTTTGTTCTTGCTATCATTCGAGAGTGTAGAGCAAATTATATTACATACAAGACGTTGCTACGAGAACACTTCGTACATTCTGTATTTATATGAACCGGCAAAAAGCTCATTCTTTCCTTTCTGTTAGACTTCTCGGCCCATGACACCAAACACTCAAATTTAAGCCCACGTCTTTCAGCGATCTAACCAGCCCTTTATTTGCCGTTATGGTTGTCATCTTTTTGTTTTCGCCTGTTCCAAAAATAAAATGATGATGGCTTTTGAGTCGAGTTCTCGATGCTGTAGTCCTTGGAACTTGTTGTTCCGTCCATGGCACGTCAGCAATGATTGAAACAGAAAGAGAATGAAATGTGTCATCGGTTTGAGGAATTGGTGGTATCGGGAGAGAACTCGATCCGTCGATATTGAGAATGCGCGCAGACGAGGGGATATTAAGATTAGAATCTGTGTCATCAATGAATCGGAATAACCAGATAGCTCGATTTCTTTCGTTTTCTCCACCAATGGAATTTACAATTTCTGCAAACCGAAGGTAGCTTGTCCAACAGCATACCAATTCTCTATGCTTGAATACCTTATACAGTTGAGGTAGAATAGGAGAAATTGATTCGTCAGCGAGCTGTTCGCGGAATGCTGGATTTTGTAGAGCCGCCTGGGACAAGGAATGCGTATGAGATAGAGAAGAAACGAGTGCACAGAGTGTGGTAATATCGAGATTGAGTACTTCAGTCAGTGATTTAGCTCTATCGACATCAGTAGATAGGTCAACTCCTGGAAGAAGAGAATGGCCAGACGAAGGGGGAGATGAGCAGAAATTTGAATTGGCGAGCTCCACAGTGATTCCCAGTCTTTCAATTGTGTTAACAATAGTACTCGAAACATTATCAGCATTTGTAAACTTCAGAATCACCTTAGGCGTCTGATAATGAACTGAATTTTGTTCAGCTGCTGCCAAATATCTTGATAACAACTCAAGCGACTTGTCCGAGCATCGAGAAATCTCAGACTCACATAACTGATTCTCCGAAATTTGTTTTTTTTTGGCATCTTCATATTTCGGGTCACTTTCAGAATGACTGTCACTGTCACTATCACTGTCACTTTCGAACTCCAGGAACTCATGTAAAACGCC